CTCCATGCACAGACCTTAGAAAACATGGACATGCAAGTTATACAGGGACAAAAGAAAAATTGACAGGTCACTGTTTACTTTTTGGCAGTTTTGTTTCTTTTAGAGAAAATTCGTGTTCCCTTTCATGGTGGTATAAACTGCTAATTTCGCAGTTTGTAGTATCACTCGTATCAATTGAATGGACTTGACTATTCAGTTTCGATCAAATGTAATTTTTTTGATTATATTCTAACCATAAAGTTTGTTCATTTTGTGTAGTACACCCTGACAGCCATGTCTGGTTTATGGAATAGGAGAGCATGTAACAGTAGTGTTGACAAATCGTCATTGTCGGATCCTCTAAGGTGTTAATTGGGTAGAGGATTATAATTAAGATTACATCAGTTTTACCTCTATGGTTACATGAAACACGGTTACGAGTAACTGTGCATGAAAGGAATACCCACAGTTCCATGTCACTGCTTTCCATGTAAAATTGTATAAATTATGATATGATTGTGTTTTTAATGCTTTCCCCGATACTTTGACTCTGGGAAGTCGTCAGCTGCAAATGGCCATAGCGTGTCGTTGTTTAGAAACAAGGTTTAACCCATGAGCCTTTATGTTTTTAGCGAGCACTGTTATCGTCGCTTGGGACTCAATTCCCGCGAAAACACAGATGACGACCCCTCCGGTTTAACCTTGCCTCTAAACAAAAGATTACCTCATCATATATTATTTCCAACCCAAGCTGTGAACTATTTAACATGACAATGCACTTATTAAGATGAACAAAAGACTCATACAAATCGATGACAGCACCTGTTTATACAAAGGCGGCGGCACGAATTGCGTGTGTGTGTGCGCGCAGTTTTTTGGGGGTGAACGCCCCGCTGCCGACACTGTTATATCCATGGTTATATGAATACATTTGTATTTCCCAGCATTGTAGGGAACAGGAAATCCCAAGTTGACCAAAATTCTATAGTAGATTTCAGACGATGTATTGGTTTATAGTTCCATAGATAGAGGGACTGTGATTCTAGTAACCGTGATCCAACAATGGCCAATGGGTTCGCGCTCACGGTTTATATGTCGTTAGTCACCACGCAGCCCTAATGATTAGTTGTCTGAGCGTAGCCTGACGAGTCGCGTGAGTTGCGACCTCCGCGGTGCTTTCCCAACACCGGTCGCCGAGGGCCTACTCACGCCTACATG